AGATACCTTAGTGGCTAGTACAACTTGTACTGTACAAGCAACACCAATGAAAATCAAAATCAAACAAAGTCTGGATTGTTCATAATAGATTTACTCAAGGTTTCTATGAAGCATATGTATGATTTGTAGCTCTCATAGAAAATAGTAAAGGACAAAATACATTTTCAACAACTGCAAAAACTATGAACGAATCAAAACACATAAAACTCAAATCGTGTTTCTTACATTTTCCATTGGCAAAGTGAAACAATTTTTAGTAAAACTTTGTAAAAATGATGTAAATTCAGAGTTATTGTCACCTTACTAGATCAATTGGGTCATTTAAAATAAAACACATCTAAGCTACTATATTTCACGTGTGATAGAGCAAAATAAACTAATATAAATTCGCCACTACGTCGCTTTATTGTCTTCTTAATTTCTTACGTAACATATATCATACAACAATGATGATGAATATACATACGTGTATTATAAAATTATGTGTAAACGTCTTATTAATTGTTTAATTATCTCATTAGCACGCGTGGTGGACAATCCCATTCTTATAATCTATTATTCATTATTATGTTGAATTTACATTTACAATATAGAACAACAAATCAACAAATGAAAAGAAACAGAATAACAATTATTATTATAACAACTAGAACCTATCATTGACACACCATCCTCTAATCGTCACTCATACGTTTCCAGAGAAAGCGGCGCACTCAGTTCAATAGGTTTGTATTTGTATTTTATTATTTTTATTTTTATTTTTTATTCGCTTAATAATATTTTTGGATKCAATCTATTTTACCCAAAGTATAGCTGTTATAAGCTTTTAAAATAATATCAAAATTAAACGTTTTAATAAATAATAACTATTTAATGCTCATAATATATTATGTGCAAATACTTAAAATATATATAATTATTATATACAAATAAAATAAAATAATATATTAATACATTTATATTATGTTGATGATTTATATTTTTTTAAATTATTAAAATGATACTATGATCCATTTGCTGCATTATTACTTATTAACTTGTTATGTTTACAGATCATTATTATACTTTTTATTTTTACCATAACGATTACGTTAAATATGATATTATGTACAATATAGGCATTAGAGTACTCGGAAAGTTTAATAGAAAAT